GGCATGGCAGAATGCAAAGAGCGCATTCTTTCCTGCATGGGTCAACAGTATTGAGCGCACATCTCACTGTAGCGCTGATCAAAGCGGGCATGATGCGGCCCATGCATGTAATGCAATTTAAAGCGCCATACTCACTTTTCAAATTGAATTAGGAACTGTGATAGCTAATGAAAATGTGAGGCAGGAAATGCTTTGAAAGAAAATGCCATGACTCGGAATGAAAACAAGCACAGCGAGAGGCGAGTAAGAACTGTTTGATTAAAGTGAGATACAAAACAGCATCAGCAGCTATACTTTAGTTTTAGTACAAGCCAAGGTCATTTTAAGACTACTTTGAGGTCTTTTGAAGACTTCCAGACTAAAATAAGTGCGGTTGTGGAATAAGAGATGCCGATTCATCAGTACATAAGTCTGTGAAGTTCGACTTTTCTGTAAATGATGCTGTATGCATGGTAGAATAGTTTTCTAGCAGGCTGATAGACGGGCATCTGTTCCAACAGGCTCTAATTAACGTGTGCCGTCTGTGGAGTAACATCTCTACTGTCAAAGTCAACAGCTGATCGTGCATGGAAAAGTGATGGCTGCAGTGTGGAGTCCTGATATGTTGGTATTCCATAAAATCTGCTTTTGTTCCTCTTTTCTCAGGCACTTTGGATAAATCCATCTGCTAAATGCATAAATGCAAATGTGGACAGTATGAAATGTATAGCTCCAAGTGCCCCATTTTGGCCACATTATATTCCCATGATGTTGTAACAACTTTGTTCACCATATCAGTAGTTGACTTATTGAATCATTTTTGTTGTTGTTGTTGCATAGCAACTTTCTGTTATGTTTGGGACTATTTTCTAGTGAAACGATGACATTTTGAACTTGCTTAAAGGTGATATATAGATTTTTTAGTGGCCTCTATCGGTGGTGTTCAGTCAGTAGCACCTTGCTTGGATTGCAGGTTAGAGTTTTGGTGGTGGTTGTTGTAATAAAGTTATATTTTATTTTATTGATTTCATTATTTATTTTTTATACTGGTGAACAAGTGATTGGCTCTCCAATATAAGCAATTAAATAAATAAAATATATTGAAAATGAATGTATTTATTTGAAGCACCTTATAAAATAAGTGCCCTCAAGTTCTCCACACCGCACAATAAAAACCATATGCATTACCCAATGCAATATAAATATACACATGTGTTTATTTAGAAAAAAAAAAAAGTAATTATGTGTCTTGCCCGATGGCAGTGGTGAATTCCACCACCAAACCGACAGCCATTTGATAACCTAAGCAGATGTTTAACCACTAAACAGCACCACTATTTAAGGACTAAGATATTACTACGGGGTGTAATATAGAGAATTGTTTTATGGTTGCAGTTCAGGAAAGCCCCTATTGAAAAAGCAAATTCCTGAACCATTCATTGAGTCCCAGTGTGGCTGATTTTCAATTTTAATAAAGCCGCTTACAATGGTCTAGCTGTACAATCATCAGAAACACCATTCACAGGGCCCGTCTACAACAGCCATGGCAGCCCTGTTTGTAAGTAAGCCGTCCCTATAGATGTGTTTTGCTGAAGTGGATTAGGATGACGGCCGGACTAATCTAGTTAAACGTGAAGATTGCCATTGTGAGCTGAAATTCACCCACACTTCCTGTGGCTCATCCTCTACCACAGTCAAACAATAGCTCAGTGAGGAGCCGGATCATATTAAACACAGAGGACTGTCGCGCAATCACATGATCGATGCTCCCCAAGCATCTCAATACGCGAGAAAAACGGCTGTTTTTTTTTTTTCTCTTTTTCTCACTGAGCAACAAATGCGATTTTGTTTACAAAGAGGAAGTGACACAGAAAAGTAAACCGACATATATGGCATATTTTTATGAAAAACAACATCTGTTCAAACTGCATCATCTGTGTAGGTTCAGCAGTCACAGACTGACATGTAAAACACTGTCAGTTTGAGCTGAGACACTGTGAGCTAGCATGACGAGGGAACTCTCAAACTAGACTTCCTTTAGGATTTTAGAAGTGATCAAAGTGCTACGGTGCGTGACCTTTTTGCTATTTGCTGTCGTGTAAAGATGGCACTGAACGTTCTGAATGTTTTTGCCTCAAGTAAAGGCTGGGCGCACTGGGAGCTAATGCTAAATGTCAACGCTAATCGACCAGGAGGATTACGTGACAAATGGGGGAAAAAAAGCAGCAGTACCACAGTAAAAAGAAATTAATCAAATTCAAATTTATTTCCACATTTACCTAACTATATTTTATTTTCATATTGGATTGGCTTTGAATTAGCAAGAATGTGTCCAAGCTTAATGCATTAAGTGCTTCCCAGTTAAACACATCCAAGAGAGAGCGCGGTGGAAACGGATCAGTTCCCGGACAGTCGCGCCATCCAGTCACGTGACCCAAATTGAATCCTCTTCAATCTCCCTTTGTCATGTTCACCATATTAAGCAATCATATGACACCAGTAAGCAGGGCAGAAAGAATGACCGGCTGTCAATTAGGGCGCCGTGATGGATCACCCCGTGATAATGTGTCATTTTACCAAACCACATATTAGGCCAATGTCCATATATTAGCAGATGTGAACAATCGGCCAAAGTATGACATATTGATTCATTTTGAAATACACATTGACAAAATTTGAAAAGGTTATATGGTGTGGCGAGGAAGGCTCGAAAGGCCAAACTATGACGGATGGGGTTGTCCGGCACGCGCACAAACTCGTACACTGCACAGATTCACTCTGAACAAATGCAGATACGCACTAACCCAACAAATTCACTTTTACTCACTCTCTTTGTAACACACACGCACATGGTAGCGAGTCCCGAGGGTGTTTAGCCTAATTACCCCTCTCAGTCATGCTGTCAGACAGGGGCTTAGGTGTCTCTTAATGTGAGTGCAGAAGGCATTAAAAGAACACAGGAGCCCGAGTCTGGATGTTGCGATATAGATCCACTCAGACCTCCGGAGGGTTTGGACAGAAGCGCTGGAAAACTGACCCCTGCCCCTTTTGTAAAGATGTCCCTGAATGAACGCCACGCACTTATTTCACGACGGCCCTACACACGCTCACAGTGAATTGCAAAATAAACAAACCGTGCTGCTGATAATACCTTTTATACCTCTTTGCTTAAGAAAACTTCCCACACTTGTGATTTGTCTACTCTATAAACACTGTTTTTAATCATTGTGTGATGGGAACACAAAAGCCCATGTAATGCTCATTAAATGGAGAAGCTACTTCCATTTCTTTCTGTTCTCAGCAGAGGCACTGCGGCAGAGAGGAGCGTTCTGAGTCCGCTATACTGTTAGAGATGATTTGTGTACTGTTTGAACTTATGTAATGCAACATGATTTGTTTGAAAAACAGTCCGTAATGTTCATCTGTACTGTCTTGCCTGCTGATTGTATTATTGTGGCCCTACAGGCTGCCCATAAATCTGTCCGCCTGCCATACTAATGATGGCTGAAAAATGACTGTTCTATATGATCTGTGTGTGTGTGTGTGTGTGTGCGTACGTGCTGCACAGCAAGACAAAGGAGAGAAAAAGAGAGTGGAGATTGGTTGTAATGGCCATAACATAGAGTGAGAAGAGAGACAGGAGTGCTTTTAAAAGCTGACCTTCTCTGACCCGTTCTCTCTCTCTGGAGAATATGACATCCGTCTCTGGCACAGCGTGCAGGTCAAAAAGGCCCCGTTTTGCTGATCATAAATGCATTAATAAAAATAGGACTTTTTGCAGTTACAGCCTTATTAGGATGCTTGTGCCACTTCCTGTAAATTTAAACAAACCTTAGTTAATTCTGCTTAGACTTACAAATTATATATATATATATATATATATATATATATATTAGGGCTGTCAGTTAAATGCATTATTAACGGCGTTAACACAAAACCCATTTTAGCTCGATTAATTTTTTTAACGCGAGATTAGCGGTCTTTTTGGCCTAGCAAAATTTGTAGTTTTTTTCACATGCTTTTGCAACAGGATGCGGGCGCGGCGTTGTGTTATAAAACCCATTAATTTCAATGGCTAAACCACACACCGTGGTCTAAATTTTGCTGCTGTGACGATTACCAGCGTGGCCAATACGCTGGTACGTTTTTGGATTTTGGCTTCCAAAAAGTTTTGAAAACTGGCGTAGCGCCGCGTATTCAGCATCCTGTCTGAAGCCGGCCAAATAGTAGGTTAACTTTATGTTTTGAGTGGATGACCAGCGCAAGACACTGAAATGGATGTCAATAAGATTATGAATTGAAAGTTTACTTTTAAAATGTTGCCAAATTATTATTATTATTTTTTGTCGTCTTGAACTGAGCTATCATTGATGGCCAAGCACACACACAGCTGATGTGAAGTTGTCAATATTGTTTTCAATAAAAAAATAAATAAAAAAATAAAGCAAAAACATTTGCACAAAGAAAGCCGATCCACTTTCCACTTTTTCATACTGAGAAGAGCATTAAAATTAGAAAAAATAATGGGACAAAAAGAAATCAAGAGACATTTAGAAAAGATAAAAATGTGTGTTTAATGCGATTAATCACGTTAACTATGTCATTAATGCGATTCATCGCGATTAAATATTTTAATAGTTTGACAGCACTAAAATATATATATATGTATATATATATGAGAGATAGATTTAATTCCAAAAGATGCTCACTTTTGTTGATATGTCAAAATTTGATTTCACTTTTTTGGTGTTATTCATAAAGCCTTTAAAATATTTCAGTAATTCTAACTAGAGTTTGGTCAGTTTGCAATTCAAAATAGGGCATTTTACAGAATTTTGGATGTGCAATATAATATACATCATTGTGACTTGCACATAATGCATTGCTATTGTTCGATGGATGCATCAGTGCATTTTTACACCCTTAGTCTAACCGACATTTAGGTATAAAACGTTTCAGTCCCATGGCGTCTGTGTTGATGCATTTGCATGATGCAGAAGAAGGAAAAGAGATGCCAAAGCTTCAGGTGAGAAATTAAAAATATTAGCATTTATTACAGCGACATTAAGAGCCTCAATGCGTACACTTTTTTTCGCAAGCCCATAGAAACCTGCAGTGTGTGAAGAGATGATGGGCACATAGCTTACAAAAGAACAGAGATCATTCACAAAGGATCAGCCCAAACACATGTACAGAGCCAGGGCAGAACAAAAAGACAACCACTTTATAAGCAATGTTCATCTATCATCTTCTATTATATTAACAACATTCCACATCCTTCTAACATTGTTTAGTCACACAACCACCTGCTTTGATTCATTTGGTGAGCAGATACAGATAGATTTCTTTCCTTAGCTGTATTTGCAAAACCAGAAAGATTATGTTGCAGTAGTAAAATTTGGAGCTTATGTTTTATTAATGGTTGTTAATATTGCCATTATCAGCATCATCGTCAAATCATGTTTTTATTGTTTCAATGGGATTTCGTGCAGCCAATTCAATTTTGCCACATCAGCATATTGCCTCCTGAGACAGAGTTGAATAGATTTAAAAAAAAATTAGCATAAAAATGGATGAGATTCTGGCCTTCTGCAATTATTTTCCATATTGAAATCTCAGATTAAGAGTATAAGATTCATTAACTAATCTCAGGATAGAACAAATCAATTAATCTAAATGCATAATCGCTTGTTTAAGGAAGTGTGTTTTTCTCTGAATAAAAATATGCTAAATTAAAAGAAAAGTGCAATATTGTGACCCATTAGCAATATTTTCTTTGTTTTTGCCATTTATGTCAACATGGTATAAAATTTTCCAGTTAAACTTTACATAATCTAATGACAGATGATGAATTTTCCTTAAAAATTGACAGAAGGAACCGTGGTTGTGTGTGCTTCGTTAAAGCCACCCGAATTCTGCAGACACAGAATTCTGACATACTTATTTTACTCATAATTCCATTTTAAAAGAGTTTTGAATCAAGAAACCCGACAGATTCTGAGTAGCTCTTGCGATTAGTTACAGTGTTGTGCTGAAGCATCGAAACGATTAATGACATAAAAGAAATCAAAATTTGAAATGATGTGAGGGAATCATGATCATGATCTGAAATTATGATTATCTCTCAGTACCATCAGTTCCTGTATTTGTCTCATATATATTTAAATAAAACAGGTAGACTTTGACTTTACAGAACAACCTCACTAGTACAAAAATATACAGTGCAGCAAATCAGTCTCAGTAAAGTTAGCATGAGGAATTTAGTTTAGCCCAATAGATTTATTAAAACCTCTCCGTCCCTACATACCACATGTGCCCGTGCCTCCCGCGAGAGCGGGGCGGATCGAATGCGTTTCCACAAACAGCAGACTAAAACAACAGTAAACATGTTGAGCCTGGCTTTAATATCGAGCTCCAGCTTCTCAGTGACGCAATGATAAATACTATATACATTATACTTCATGATATCATTTCTAAGGGGAGGACGGGAAAAAAGAGAAAGAACTGCACAGTTAATAAGGCATCTAAAGTCAAGCAGCTAAGGGCACCACTTGAGTGAAAAAACTGCAGTCACTGTCACCTGTCAATCAAAGACGAAGCTTAGGATCCATGCTACATTCCAGAGATGAGTTATTATCGCACATCAGCAGACAGCGGTGATAACGCACCACACGGCCGCTAACTCCTCTTCATACTAAATAAAAGTACATCATTACAAACATTCTAGTTTTTCGCGTGTTTTTTCGATTTTGTCTTCGTTTTTTAAATCAACACTGTACATTTTATACACTATAGTACAATAGTATATGTGGTCACGCACTATGAGTGTAAACGTAACGACGATGCGGACGTGGCACACACACGTTATGATGATGTAAAGTTGTTTTCGCTGCAGTTGAACAACGTGTCTGTGCGGCGAATGGACAGAAATAACATTTCACTTTTTATTTGGAAGTCAAACGGTTTCTCATACAAATGCTTGCACTGTTTCAGCGCCTGTTCACATAAGGAACACACGATGAATGAAGAGCAGTTATTTCTCAGCTAAACAGAATATAATGATCTTATCTTATCTTGCCATCCTCACACTTCTTTGTCGTTCCAGGTGCCATCTTTGCTGGTGGAACGCAAACTTGTCTTTTCGGTGCTCAACCAATGCCTCAACTATGACAAAATAAATATACTATTAACATCTTCTGTTATGGTACTGTGGCTTATAGTGGATGTAGAAGAACATACCGATATCCCAAACATGGACGTGATAAAAAGAAACAAAAACCCTCGTTTTCATAAAAAGTCCGACCTTTGATATGCTAAAGATCACATATGAAATGCAAACGTTGAAACTGTAAAACACAAGCTGTGAATTCTCCCTAATGTATTATTGTTCCTTTTTTTGTTTGTTTGATGACCATACTTCATATCTGATTTGCCGTGGCCTTGTCAAGCGATTGCAGATCGGTCTCGTGTGTCCCTCGACTCGTAGGAAGCTCGGACGTGCATGGACGGAAGCCAGAGCGCTGACGAAAGGGTCGTATGCGGAAACATCCAGGGTGGGAACTGTACAGTGAAGCTGCTGATAGGGATTGTAGTGGGAGCAGTTGTTAACTCTCTCAGTCTGTACGCTCTCAGGCGGTGGAGAAGACTTGTTATACCTGAACGTGTGTCCCCTGTGCGTGCAAGCTCTGGACGGCAGAGACAATCTTCTTTTGGTGCCCCACCAGAGTCACACCCATCTTGCTTAACTCACTGAGGAAGAAGGGACAAAAAAAAGAGAAAACGTTTGAAGAAATCATGTAATAGTAAGTACAGTTTATTTGGTGTTTGGTTGTAGAATAATTCATAATTAAAGAACAATATATATAAAAGGCCACTAAAGTGCCTTGGAACGCACAGCTTTGTATGATGTGTTGACAATTACCACTGAAGCTTTGGCGGGACACATTGAATGGGTCCACGCCCATTAGCATTTAGTTTACCTCACAGACTGCAAGTCGTACTTGACAGCAAAATGGAAGCGAATCCGAGCACTGATGATACGTTGGATTTAATAGTAGAGGTGTGAATAAATTCTAGCCATTTCATTTTTTAACCAACGTACAGTTGGAAAAAACTAAATAAAACTTGAGAGTTTGAGCAACCGAACACACATCTCTAACCCATATTGCTCCGTGAGGCGTCAACGGTCGCTTTGGCCAGCATAGGGGGCGGGACGCTTTAGATTCTAGAGTATTTGATTTGACAGAAGATGTGATGAAAGCTGAAGTCCGCAGTGATGTCATAAACATCCGTGATCCATTTCAGCTAAGTTTTGAATGCTTATATCTCCTAAATGCAAATTTTGTCATAGTTTTGGAACACACCAGCTTATTCATAACCTTAAGGCTAACATTTTCATACTAAAAGCTAAACATTTTTTATTTTAATTTCAGGGGGCCTTTAAGAGTGCTCTCGTAAAAGTAAGGGTTTTTTATTGGCATTGAAGATGAAGAACCTTTAACATTCATGGAACATTTCCATTGCGCAAAAGGTTATTTAGAGTGGAAAATGGTTCTTTAGATTATATCGATGTTCTTCAGTCAAAAGAAATCGTTATAGTAAGAAGTGTTCACTGAAAGGTTCTTTGAGGAAGCAAAAATTCAAAAATGCAAAATAATAATAATTTAAAAAAAATTAGTAACTATTTTTCCCTGATGTACAGAACATGTTGATGTGCTTCAATGTGGAGCATAATTTTATAACCGAAGAGATTGCTTTGTGGGCAGAGCTACGCAGCAGCACATTATAAAAAATACATATCAATCGATTTTTTTGCATGACATATACTGCAGCTGAATTTTGATGCTCAAGTACAATTTCTTCTTATAATAAACGTTAATATTTTTGAAACCTTGATAGATACTTATTTTAAGGTTTCTTTGACAAATAGAAAGTTCAAAAGAACAGCATTAAATTGAAATATAAAAAAAGTAAAACAATAATAATTAATCATTAACAAATAATAAAAAATCTTATTCACCCCAAAAAATGAAGAGCTCTTTTCCAAAACGCGCTAAACGCCATTTAAAAAAAAAATGAGTTTGTCGTGTCATTCTGCTGTGGACAGAACCCTTTCACTGCTCCATCAACGTTTCATGCCAAATCGCTATATTTCCTTGTTTAAAATGTACTGCAAGATACAGTTTCTTTCCAAGCCGCGATAAGCGCCAGCCCTGTTTTTAGCCTAAACACGATAAATCCTCAAATTCAATGAGCGCTCTACACAATCCAGCACGGCGACACTCTGAACAGAGGTTTATTATGTTCATTCATTCCTCAAAATGAGTCCTAGTTTTCTAGTCGACTAGTAGTAGATCATTTAAGCCATTTGTATTATCAGTAATCACATATATTGATTTAATTAAATGGGAGAGAAACCATATGAGCGTTTTTAATTGCCTATTCCGCATTTCAACGTATGCATAAAGCTTGCCACAAAGAACCGGCAAAAGTAATGATTATGCATGAAACATTTGAATTATTTATTAATAAACTAGAGTTTTCTGTCAGTGTCAGCAACAAAGATAAAGTTGATGATGCTTACTCGCCATCTTCGCAGTGAACGTGCTGCGCGCATAGAGAAACGCATACTTCGAATTAGCCTACATACGCAGAGAGTTGCCAATTTATTTTAGTTTTTAATTGTTTTGTTTAAAAGTAGATATTTAAAGCTTTCTGTAGCTTAGTTCTCAGGCCTGTGTGAGGCAAGCATCGCGGTGTTTCGGTTCATATTATGAGACGCGCTCCGGTTCACCTGCGCGCCTCTGTGTCCTGATTATATTGTCTGATATTTACTTCTAATGTATTAATCCAGTCAATTTGTCGATGAAACATTTATTAAAATGAAGATACAATTTATATGAAACGAAATTTACAAGCTTTCTACAAAACAAAACTTAATAAGTGGTCAAAATCATGTCTGACGCACTCCAAATATTTTCCGATATTGGGCAGCTTTTGAATTTTGATCCTATCTTACTCATCTCATGCGGTTCCCTTTTCATAGCCTACTCAACATAGATGAAATAATAAAAATAAGTAATGTAATATTATTAAAAACAAATGTGAAACGTATATTTTATGTTTATTTATTTATTTTTTTTTTTTTTTAACTTATATTTAAGCGTCATGCTGCTCCGCTTTGCTCACATGTTATGTAGCCTGTGTGTGTGTGTATGTGCTGGAGGGGTGCCCATCCATTTTTTGAATATCGTTATCATATATTGATCATTTTTAATAATTCGTTTTTTTTCATGCATATGTTGAAATTGGTACTATTTGTTTGAGGTTTGACTCTTTACTAAAAATGACTTTACTAAAAATGATGCAAAAAATGGATGGATTTATAGCGTTTTGGAAAAAAATAAAATTAACTTTTAAATTATCATTAACAATATTGTTGTTTGATTTAATAATTATTGTTCAAAATGTTCAGACTGAACCATAAAACATTTAAAAGGATAATTTGAATATTCACAAAATGTGTGGGTCTAGGTAAAAAATGTAGTTTTCCTGAAAACTATTGAAATGGATTTATAGCGTTTTGGAAAAGAGCTCTTCAAATATAAATAATACAATAAAATATTAAAAATAAACATTTTGGTCTGGAACACTTGCCATGATGTGAGCCTTTGTCCAGATACACAAACTTACCACAAGCTGATGTACAGTATGGAATCTAGAGAAACGTAGCCCGCGCTGGCGAAGTTGTCCTTGTACTGGCCCATACTGATGGCGTCCAGCCATTCATCCACCGTACTCACGCTGAACTCTGGGGTGGTGGGGTCTTCCCTGGAAAGGAAATTGGATTTGTATCAATTATGGTGTGGCTTAATGCTAAAGAACTGAGTACAGAGATGGAAAACTGCTCTTACGTAATAAATCATCATTGGAATTGTAGGTTATGGTGTTAAGGCTTCAGGCTTACGGTTAACAAAAATCTAATCAAACTGTCATTTGTCTCGGAGTATAATGATCAAAAAAGCAAGTTGATCCAAGAACTTCCTGTCACTTCCTTGTGAGAGTCGATATCTTAAGTAATTTCATGAGAAAAGGATAAAGAGTTGAAGAGTTGCAGTAGAGGTTAAAACCCATTGTGTTCCCTTTCCGTTCTTCGTGACAGACGGGTTAGGCTCACAATGTTGAGTGACAGCGGCGTTTGAGTGAAATCCGGGGGTCAATTCAATCTCAGACCTGGGATGTATTTAACGCCCTCGTTCTTCTTTGTCCTCTTTGGACACAGAGAGATAAAATGACTGGCAGGTTGGGCTGTAATCAGAGAGACTGTGATGGACTTGAAGAAGCGTATATCTCAAGAAGGGCTCTGACTCACTAGCTTTACGGCTGTAATGCGAACTCTGCGTCTCCGTCTCCAGCGCTCCTGATAAACCGCAGGTGGAGGGGGGAGTCTGCGCTCTGTCTCATGTCAGGTTTTACAATAGGGCTATCTATAACGACTTTTTACAAAGCTGCCAGATGAATGTCTGCTGGAAAAGGATCAGTGACACTAGGTTTGGTTATATTAGACGATATGGAGTTTATCAGCTTGTTGTCTCACATTAAACGAAAGATTTGAGAGTTCATGGGGCAGACAAAGAAAAGCTGGATTGGATTTTCTCTGGATTTATTTGAGCTGTTAGGGATTTGTTTTTGTGGCTTTTAAATGTTCACTTTAAAATAGACAATCCTTTGGTTTAAACTGGTGTTGTTCTTTATGTTACATGTTTCCACCACTTTATCATATTTAAACAATGTTAATAAATGGTTAAACAATGGTTCTTTATAACCCTGAGTTAACATAATCTTGGGTTTATTTGGTGATGAACATGCAACCTCTTTAATTGTCTACCTCAGACACTAATGTTACATTAATTTGAATATTTTTTCTAAAGAAAATAAAAATAAAGATATATGCTCTGAAAAAAATAAAATAAAATAGAAATCATTTGCAACATTATAAATGTCTTTACTGTCTCTTTTTATTTGTTTAATACATTACATAAAAAAGTATTAATTTCTTTAAAAAATAATGGTAGTTTAAATTATCTTATCTTCAATTTATATTGTTTAAAAGGATATTCAGATATTTTCTATAGGAAAACAAGATTTTACATGATTTATTGATCATTTTGAAGATTATTTATGATATATAAACAATTACATAACCAAGGGTTAAATAAAAGTGGCCTTAATGCACACTCTAAAAAATGCTGGGTTGTTTTAACCCAATTTTGGGTATAATATGTACAAACCCAGCCATTGGGAAACATTTTTAAATTACATTTTTAACCCAAATGGCTGAGTTTGTCCATATTTTACCCAAAATTGTTTTAAAACAACCCAGCATTTTTTAGAGTGCAGGGTTAAGCATAGTGTGAAAAGCTGAAGCACAGGTTCATATCAGTTTCTCACCAGACTGAGCTGTTGGCAAGCTCTTTCAGACTGTTGGGGTTGCGGATGAGTTTGTCAAGAGTGTTGACAATCTGCCCAAATTTTGGCCGTTCGCTTCTAGTCTTCTCCCAGCAGTCCAACATCAGCTGGTGGAGGACCACGGGACAGTCCATCGGAGCGGGCAGCCTGTAACCCTCATCTATAGCTTTAATCACCTGAAACAGAGGCACATACATCAAAATATAATATATCGAACAAAGAACAAAACGTGAAACTGCACTCTAAGAAAAGTCCATAAAATAGGACCCATTGTACTGTGTTAACTTGAAGAGATTTTCCATAATGATTTTGAAGGTGTTTTATCCATAGTTTGAATGTGTTTTAGAGTTAAAGATGCCCGTTAACTCAAAGGATAATATTCTGGCAGAAAATTACCAGCATGTAACCTTAAGGATATTTTTCTACTGCATTTGTCCCTTAACATAAGTTTTAATAATTTATTCAGTGAAATAAAATCATATTTTTGACTCAAGTAAAATCCAGTAATATAGTTGCTATATTATGAAGTAATAGCACATTTGTATGAAGCACATTTTTAGGTTACAACGTTTTTCCAGTTTCATTGCTGCTGTTGTTAATGTTGCTATGCAGGATCTTTTTCAAATGCAAGTAAAAGTAAATGCAAATCTTTCTGTCCGTTTCTTCTTTTGATAACACTGTTACTGGCTAATACCAAGCACCATATGCTATTATTGTACTTTAGTGGAAAAATTAAGTTTAGTAGTAGTTAGCATGGTACATCACATTTACATTTCATATTACTTTATATAAATGAATGTTTGTCTATTCCACGGTGTAAAACATAAGAACCTTTAATTAAGTCGTGTAACATTCATTGGTACAAGACATCTCCTATGTGACTATAACTGATTGCTATGGTTAAAACAGCCCCTGTTCTCTGCCACTTCATGTTCTTAAATCAAATGAGCTATTTTCCTTGAGACATGAAACATTCTTCTGTGTTGCAGAATGAGCAGAGAAGACCTAAATCATTATCAACGGTGCCCTGAAGGTCTTCAAGATTTCTCTGACATTTCCTGAGATGGTAATAAATGGAGAAGTCAGAAACTGTTAGCATAATATAGCAGTGAGGGATGAAGTGTGTTTCACTGGCTTGAATTAAATGCAGGAGCAGCTGGACAGCTCTCGTTTATGAGCCTCCTAAAACCATTGTCATTCGAGCGGTTTCTATACAGACATCACGGCAGGAAGATTTTACTTGCAAGGACACACTGCTCGGAGGCTCTGCCCTCCCCCCTCTCCTAAGAGGCTTCAATGGAAATGATATTAGTGGAGATATTAGATATTAGTTGAGCAGATTTCAATTTAAACAATACACGAGAGAACAAGAGCGTTTCCAGTTTCTCAAGGACACTTACGTCTTGATTAGACATCTCCCAATAAGGCCGCTCTCCATATGAGATCACCTCCCACATGACGATGCCGTAACTCCAAACGTCACTTGCTGAGGTGAACTTCCTGTACGCTATAGCCTCAGGAGCCGTCCATCGAATGGGAATTTTTCCACCCTAAAAAGGAAATAAAAAGACGGTGTTTCCTTAAAATCAGGTACTTTCATGTTTCCAGGGGTTGATTTAAATTTTCTTTTTTGCTATATGAGAGAAAATGATTTCTGTCATTTTCAAAACTTAGGATTGTCCCTCATTTGTGGAATGATTTCTACCACACCAAACAAGTTTTGGAAAAATCAATGGTGTACTTGGTTACCAAGAGATACAGTTTGGGGTTAAACATGACACATCATAAATAAATAAGTAATAGTTTTTATTTTGTGTAATTATGCACAAAATGTGAAAATACACTACTGTTCAAAAGTTTGGGGTCAGTAAGATGTTTTTTTTATTAAAAAATTAATACTTTTATTCAACAAGGACATGTTAAATTGATGGAAAGAGACAGTAAAAACGTATAATGTTACAAAAGATTTCGATTTGAAATAAATGCTTTTCTTTTGAACTTTTTATCAAAGAATTCTAAAAAAAAAGAGTCAGTTTTCACAAAAATAATAAACTGCACAACAGTTTTAATAACTGATACCAAAATTACATTTATTTTGCACCAAATCAGCATTAGAATGATTTTGTAGGATCATGTGACACTGAAAACTGGAGTAATGGCTGCTCTTATAAAATTGAAAACAGTTATTTTGTAATAATTCACAAAATTATTTGTTTTACAGTATTTGAGCAAATAAACGCAGCCTTGGTGAGCGTAAGATACCTATTTTAAAAACATTTTAAAAAAAATCTCCCTGACCCCAAACTTTTTAACAGTAGTATATGGCTTAACTGTCACTATTTAAGACACCTAAAATGCTAGCTATGAACTTAGCCTTACTGTAGCAAGACTATTTTATTCCAAAAACGTCAATTTCCATCGTCGTCATTTCAACACAATATACAAGCTGAAATAACACTGTGATGTAATTTCCAGGATAAAAAATAACTGAAATCTGCACGGTCGGACGTTGTTAGTACACTACTAAAATTAATGAGAGTGTGAAAAATGTGTTTTAAGATATTTCATTCTCTGAAAGTTAAAGACCCATAAACAAACAACAGAATAGATACAATATTTGCCTTTCCATTCCAGCACTATGAAGGGGTCTTTATTTCCCTAAATGCCTTTTTAAATAGCTACAGTAGTTTGCAGTTAATCTCTACAGTCAAAGTCAAACAAAAGACAAACTGGCTGTACTCTATATAGACATACGTGACGAGAGTGTCAAAGAACGGCAGCAGGGCCCAAGGGGTAAAATCATTTAAAGAGAATTTCAAAAAGCGATCTTTACATTTTTTTTTAATTATATAAAGTCACAGCAACATAAACGGTTGCCTCGCGTGGCCTGAAGGGTTTTGTCTCTTCGTGATTTCAGGGCTTGAAGCAATGGGGCACGGGGCGCTGAATGTCAGAGACACTTATATTTTAAGAGTTCCTCCCTGTTGAAACACATTTTGTCTCAAGCACGCACAAACGCGAGCATCAAAAGGCAATCTGCAGGGGTCCATTCAGGGTTGTACAAGCACCTCCCTCCCTTGTTTGAATGTGACAACAGATTCTCCTGCTGAGTCTATGCTTTGTCCACACTGAAGGCCACACACACACACACACTCTCTTGCCCTTGGCCTTCATGCGCATTCACAGGGGTGCTCACCAATTAGAACGAGTGTAGGCTGTCCTGTCAGAAACGGATGTAATTAATACATGCTGTGTGGACAGAGAAACTGACCCCCGAGAAAGCCAACTCACTTCTCAAACATCCCTCCTCTTTCTCTCTGTGTCTCATCCTAGTTCATTCACACAATCAAACACTTTTAAAGAACATAAGAGGCATCGCTTTCTCTATTCAGATCAGACATTTTAATCAATATTTAGGTCTTAGGGGATTTTTCAGATTTACCATATTAGCAAAAAAATGAGACGCCAATGAAAGCTAGCTCTGAAAAAACACTAAATAAATAGCAACCAAAACAGAATGTATACAGAAAACAAGATGTTACAAAACAATAAATAACATAAATTTTTTATTCATTTAGTTCTTCCTTCATTCCCTCTTTTTGTAAAATTTATGAGGACTCTAAAATAACCTTGACAGGGAAAAGTGTTTTACCCGTGTGGTGTACGCAGCTTCAGGGTCGTCCTCCAACACTCTGGATAGGCCGAAGTCGGACACTTTGCACACCAGATTACTGTTCACCAGGATGTTTCGTGCCGCCAGGTCACGGTGGACGTAGCTCATGTCAGACAGATATTTCATTCCTGAGGCGATACCACGCATCATCCCCACCAGCTGAATGACTGTAAATTGCCCATCGTGTTTCTGCAAGAGAAAGTGATGGCACATGTTAGTTTTTTATAGATTTTAAAGGTGGTGTACACTGTGAAAACAAAGGTTTTAAATAACTTTAAACTGTTCTCCTTTGGCAGCACGATGCAAAACTTATTGTGGTTTGAACTGGAACCTTTATTTCCATGCAAATGCCACTATAAGTAGGTTGCTAATTCATCAGATATCATGAACTTACAACATTTCTTCATTTTTATTATTTTACAAATCTTTATTATTATATATTATTTAAATATTATATTAATAGTGTGTGCAAACACAAACTTTTATTTTGGATGCGATTAATCGCGATAAATTGTTTCATAGCCCTAATATATATATATATATATATATATATATATATATATATATATATATATATATACTGTATATATATATATATATATATATATATATACATATATATATATACCGCGATTAATCACATCCAAAATACAAGTTTGTGTTTAAATAATATATGTGTGTGGGGTGTGTATAATTATTTTGTATATATAAATACACACAAATGCATGTAAGAAAAATGTTTTATTAATATATCAAATATTTATAATCATGTATAATATTAATTTTATATATATTATATATTATATATATAAAAGTATATAAATGCAAATATATACATGCATGTGTGCGTATTTATATATACAAAATAATTATACACAATACACACACATATAAAGTATTATGTAAACACAAACTTTTATTTTGGATGCGATTAATCATTTCACAGCCCTAATATATATATATATATATATATATATATATATATATATATATACACACACACACACACACACACTGGAATAATATAAATAATAATAATCAAAATAATAATTATTATTATCAAACATTATTACAATGAATATTAATTTGCTCATAAATATTCGAAGATTTTCTTTCTGTTAAAATTTCTACATTACATTATTCAGATTCATGCATTTTTCAAACCCTCCATTTTCACAGATCCAGGTTTTGCTCTGAGTTCTGATTCATTATGCAAAAGACTCTGACCTCTGGTTTTACAGCTCTTTCTGCCATAATTGCTATAATGTTGACAGGCCTTTATTAATGTAAAACCACATGGATTTGGTGCCTCTGTTAGCTAAACAAAAGAGCTCAGACATCCATTTTGCCTCAAAAACAGTCTTCGCAATAAGCAATTAGCTCAATGTCTTAATCTCCATATCTGGGCAGTACACTAATCTTGTTAAAACCCCACTTTTGTACCTCCGAGCAATATCAATCAGAAAACATGCGCTCGTATAGTATTTCATGCATCATAATGTGGGTAAGTTAATTACGCTGTGTTTTGTGAAATGTGGCCGCTGACTGATCGCCCGGCCTGATCGACTGCTTGTTATCAATCTACTGTCAGAAGCCACACTACTTACAGGAAGAGCAGAGTATGCAGACATAGAGACAGAGAGAAATCATTTGTTTTGCTACTAGTAAGTGATGCTTAACTGATCTGTCTTCTAATTAAACACATGTAGCTGGGTGGCCGAACTATGAGCTATTAGCCATAAAACGGACCCCATAATTATATTAGCTTTTTATGTGGGCTAAGGGGGTATTTATGGGATTCATTATGTACGCCGCAGAAAGATCGAAAGTCTCAGACAGGCCCGTTTTTAGGGGTGGGGGTGTTAGATTTCATTTTCATTTTCTCAAAGTGTAGGCAATTAAAAAGAGTCCTGACTTAAAGGAAAACGTATCTGTGCTGTGCGTAATAAAACTTCGTGGCCTGATCCGCTGGGTGACAAAGGCGGTAATAAATTAGTGAGGATTGCAGAGGAGACATTATGGCAGCTTGGTGGAGCGAGCGTAACCTTATTATAAATCTACCGAGTTCATTTACTCGCTTCCTGTCTCTGTACGAGACACATTCGCAACACGTTCACTCAAATACACGCTCAAGCGTTATTATCTTTTACTAAAACAAAGACGGCTACCGCTTTATTTCGATAGTCCACTTTAGACATACTGACTATATACAGTAAGTAACTTTGCAACTACAAGACAACGGCCAGTAATTAAACTATTAGTATTTATTTTGATGGTCTTCCAACAGGCATTCTACTAACTACTGTATAAGTAACTTTACAAGTACATGCACATTTATTTATTTATATTTATATACATGCACATTTATTTACATATTTATAACTCATACCCTAACCTAACAGTCTACTAATATTCTACTGTAGTTGCAAATTATTGAGAGTTAGTTGTCATGTAGTTGTAAAGTTACTTATAGTTAGTAAAATGTCAAAAGTAAACTATCAAAATAAAGTGTAACTCAAAGGCCCAAAAGACAGACATTTTTAGATATTAATAATAACACAAATATTTAATGTAAATAAATAAAAAATAAACTTTCAATGAAAAATAAACTGAAACAAAACTGTAAAAATAAATTGCAATATAGTGCATGATGCAGTTTAATTCAACCATTACTCTGAAAAATGCGAATGTCCCCATGCAAAATCCATTTTAGATGGGAATATTCTGTTGAGTCTAAACAGAAAATATTTAATCAAAAATAAGTATATAAAAATGCAACAGAATGAAATGAAAACTAAACTGAACCAAACTATAACAACCTTGGAACGTTCGCTGCACAACAGACAAGATACGAGAGCCCTAATGGACAGTACGCAACTGAATCCGTGCTGCCTCAACCAGGCATCCATTCCATGCTTAATTTCCCTGCAGTAATAGACTTTCAGGGAGGTATCCGTGGCTTATACCCTTGAGCGATGCTCGTTTATTGGCTGTAGGTAATTAAATGTAAGGCAGCATCTTAAATGGCATGTGAATATCGGTGTGGACTTGTGCCACGGGCGTTTTGCCTTCCTCACCTTCAGGAAAGTATCCAACGATCCATTCTCCATGTACTCTGTAATAATCATCACGGGCTTGCCTGTAGACATAAAAAAAAAAAAAAAAAAAAGAAGACAAAAATACAAGATTTACCACCAGCCTAGATGGAAGGAAAAAAAAAACATAACATGCCCTAACAGATTGATGATTCTACACAAATCCATACAGAAATAAATCATGGTAATGGTGTCATTAATCCTTTATAGCTGAGATGCTGAAACACAGGAATGAAGGAGAGAAGAGAGGAGGCGAAACCCTGGCCACACTCTCAGCCTCTGTCCCGGGCAGCACCATTATTCAGCAAGACAGACCTTCATCAGAGCCTTCCACCATCAAAGACAGCAGTTAATTAACCCCGGATAATCCACTGAGAACCAATTAGAGAGCTTTGTTGCCATGATGGGCGGGCAGGACAGTCAATGAGAGCCGATGAGAGGGCACAACACCTGTTGTGGTGGGCATGAGCAGTGATGGAATCTTGAGTAAACGGTGTTGCAAACTAGCTCTGTGAAATATTAACAATCAATCATAACTTGTTATAACTGATTATGAATATTTGAATCAGTTAATCGGGTGAACTTGATGTAGCTACATCAACGTTACAACCAATTATTCGGTTCATCCTGTTATTAATTAATTGAAATGTACATTTCCGGGGCATGGGAAATGTCTTTCTTATTAAATACTACTAAGAGCAAGTAGTCAAGATCTTTGACTCCAGATATGAGCTTGAGACACACACAACTTTACGTGTGATATGAAAAAGACTTTATGAACTAGACTTAACATTTTAACTACTCTAAAATTCACACATATACAGGCATAAGTATCCCCAGACAGCAAACTGACATTGAATCAACGTGGAAACGACGTCTCTCATGACATTGAAACAACGTTGATTTTGCTCATCGAATTAACGTTGAACCAACGTCAGACGAGGCATTCTTCAAAGCTAAATGAAAATCGAAAATTGGTTTGCTTTCATAACGTTGAAACAACGCGTTGATTTCAAGTTGATTTTCCGTTAGTTTTGAAAGAATGACGCGTCTGACGTTGGTTCAACGTTAATTCGATGAGCAAAACAATGTCAGATCAACATTGTTTCTATGTCATATTTCCACGTTGATTCAATGTCAGTTTGCTATCTGGGTCCTTACACCTACATATACACATGCATAATGTATACACATACACATATACATATATACACATATTATATATATATATATTAAAAAGGGTTTATTTCTTCTTATTTAGCAAGAATTAGGAGACAATTCCCTGCCAGAGTTGGCTTCATTTGTGGGGGAAGTTTCACAGAACATTGTTGGGAGAGTGAATTTGTTGGATTATTCATTAAATATAAATGACTAATTTGTGTGTCTCTGATTTGTCCAGACACTACAACAGTACACAACGTTTGTTTTACAAATGACTGAGGCAAAGCTCCAGACCCCAAACTAAGAAAACAACATTAGTCAGTCAACTGAACACACCACAACCGCAAGCATTAATCTATTAGTTGACCTGAGAAACAACCTCCCAAATGTGACATTGTAATCATAACATGTGTAAATTCATTCATTTCAACAAATGTTTCGAAACCTTATGAGCTGCTTATTATAATTGTACTTCTGACACAACGGATCCAAAAGTAAAAGCTGCTTATTCCAAAAGTAGCTCTCGTTAGCCAAATGCTAAAACAGAACCCAACTGGCCAACTAGTCTAAAAAGTGGATGTGGACATACATTTTATTATTAGTAAAAGTTCCATCACTATTTCAAACAATATTTGTCTATCTATTGCTGGTGCTTCTCATTAGAGATCAACATGTTAGCTAAGCTACATGTTAGCATGGCTTTGCTAGTCAAACTGTTTTGTGATGTGTTCTGTAAGTAAAGAAACCTACCTATAATGTACCTTGTACTTTTGTTTCAAACCAAAGTTTGGCAATGTTGTCATTCACCTCATTGCTAGTTGTTTTGGTTAAAGAGAGAAAAAAAAAAATGAAATATGGCCACTGAAAAAGTGGGTGGGCATTGTTGCACTACAATATATTCAATGAACTGTGAGTGTTAAACCAGACTAGCATATTCAGACGACAAATGGTAAATGGTAAATGGACTGCATTTATATAGCGCCTTTATAGACCTAATGGCCACCAAAGCGCTTTACATTTGCCTCACATTCACCCATTCATACACTCATTCACACACTGACGGCGGTGTCAGCCATGCAAGGAGCCATCCAGCTCGTCGGGAGCAGCTGGGGTTAGGTGTCTTGCTCATGGACACCTCGACACTTGGTCAGGTGGAACCGAGGATTGAACCACCAACCTTTCGGTTCGTAGACAACCCACATGAACCACTGAGCCACTGCCGCCCCAAACGCATCTTCTGTTAAATTGCATGTTTTGAATACAAGAAGACATCCTACATGAATGATCACTTACAAGGTAGCAATATCAAGGCAACAATGATTCAAACAGAGTTTTACAAACAGTCTTACAAACACACTCCCACTTATAGGCATAAGTTATACTTCTGCTGCCACCAATCTACCACAGGGCATCATCTGCAACCTGATATCTGAAATAAAGCGACAGAGTGAAATAAACAGAAAAATGTTCCAGAGGCTTGTCGAGTCCCGGTTAACAAACTCTGTCATATCCCTCTCAATCCTCTGACCTAAATATATCACTCACAGGTCACAGACAGTTCAACCATTTAGCAACCGTTGTTTCATTTCAGAAACGTCCATGTACAGCTTTGACGGAACGAATCAAAACGCGACCGCTGGGGTAATATGACCGTGTCAAATGTGCCTGTTGATTAGTCGGTGCGTCTGATTCTGGTGGTGTACACCATGCTTGTCTTTGTAAAAGGCTCTAAACCTACGCAACGCATAAGTAGGTCTCCACAGATGAGGCTTATACATACACAGACACTGGATGCTAAGTGGGCATACAGTGCTTCAGATAGCAGGGAAATAGGTTATTATGTTAGCACTCAGATGAGATACATGTGTTAATGATAAACATTCACTTGAGCAAATAAAATGCATTATTGCATTCAATTTCATACATTCTTAAATTCAAATATTAAAATCAGTTTACCAACATTTTTAGAAATGGGTCTAATATATACAGTATATATATATATATATAGTATATATACGTTAAAATGTGAAATAGGTTCCTCTGAGAGAATTCAAGCATTATTTTTTTTTTCTTATTTAATAATTAATAGATATGGCAGATAAAAATGATATGCAGTAATAATTCATTCCAGTCCTGAATTTTGATTAGTACATTTTACTAAAAACATTATTCACTGAAATCTTAAGATTTTTTTTCCCTGATCTGTTAGGGTGGGGCATAGCAAATGTTCTTAGATTTCTCCCCTGTGGTGAAAATGAAGCTTTTAATATTGTTTATACATCTATGAGGTGATTTTAATATGCTTTAATGTGCAAACCATGCGCAAATTCACAAGTCAACACCATTGCTGAGTATTTTCTCCTTAAAATTGCAGTGAACCAAAGACAGTCTCAAAAACGTGGTTTGAATTCGCTGGTGTTTCTGATGTCACAAACTACCTTGTAACCAATCACGTCAACGAGTTGGGAGCTGGAGTGAGCGAGTGGAGTCAGGGCTAATTTGCATATTCATAGAACCACATATACTGAATGAAGCAAGGTTTTAGAGTTACATTCAAGCTATTTTAAGGCATGACAAACATTTATTTATTTTTTCTAGGAAAAAACAGAATATGTCATTTTGGTGATCAATGTGGTGTTTTAAGCGATACAATGATTTTATTTCAGCTTAATCGCAATTATCGAAAATTATCATTTTAGATTTAGTTCAAGTTAACAATAACAACATTGATGCAAAAAGTCTGTAGTAAATAAATCAGGAGGTAAAAAAACAAAAAAAAAAAAAAACGATGAAATGGCATTTTTTTGTTCTAAAAAAAACATCCACAGTTACTACTCCAAAAAAGAAAAGACATTAGTGTACACAGAATGTGTGTCAGTGTATTAGTGTTTAAGTTGTGGGGCTGTTCCTACCTCTCTCAGGGACGTGTAAACACTAGCCGTGTCAGTTATGATAAATGGTCAGTGCTGGACATCTCCACTCTGGAATACTGAAATATGTGCTCTAGTCATATAAAGTATATGCCTCTATGTGTTTGTGAAAAACAGGTTTGATCACCCCCCTCTGAGCATCACCACGGCAACTGGCTGGCTATACATCACCTAAAATTAAATCACTATCTCACTGAGATAAATGCCTTCCTCGACACCCCCCAAACCTAACCCCCCATGTCTCAACCGAAAAAGGGGGGAAAAAATGCAATTGCTTTTACTTTTCAGAGGCAGACTAATGTAGCTGTCAGCCGCAGAAAGGAGAAAGAGAGCGAACGGACCGCGGCGCACTGTGTTCTGGGAATGGCACGGCGACGGGTGGCAATCTGATGTCACTGTGTGTGTGACCGCTTTATCAGAAAGACAGTTGAAGCGGCAACTGGCATTGATCCTGAAAGAGCGGGTGGCCGAAGCACTGGATCCGATCAGAGAAACTTATGGGGCCTCCCGGGGCCCTGACCTCAGCATAACAGCCTACAGCTGAGCCCAGAGACAGAACACATGAGATGAATGTGTAGTTAAACACTGCGAGGGCATACGTGAGGGTTTAACCGTAACAGGATCACGTACGTGCCTTTAACAAATATCAAAACTCTAATGCGGGTGTCCTCCAGATCGGAATTGGTTTCAAAATCTGAAATTTACCAAGGAAATTAATTTCATACTCAACGCTTGACTAAACTCTGGCAAATCTTTTTGAAAGGTCATCTAGTGTTGATTTTGTACATGGGTTTAAGTGCTAAAACAACCGTCAGCCGAGATTACAGCAGGCGTTTAACTAATAAAACACTCCTTGTTATGAGCTCTTCAGAAAACAGCTCTGAAATATCCGCACTTGACATTAATCTCTGGCAACCTTGAGGGGATTTTTTTATTAATTTCCCCTCTAATTC